GCGACGCCTGCCGCCCCGCGCGGGCGCGGTGGATTCAGTGGGGCACCGGCTCTTCTCGAACGGTCGAGGTGGAGGTCGATGCCACGGTCATTTGCAAGTGGAAAGCCGAGGAGAACGCCGAGCTGACGCATTCATATTACTGTTTCATTGGCATTCGCCAGCGAGGTAGCACGTCCCACTTCGCCATGATGCCGCTGGGCGTGAGCAAATCTCAGAGGAGGGGCATTGGAGACACCGGCGGAGTCCCCTCCGGAGGGGGGGCCGGGCTCTCGTCGCCACGGCCGGGCGCAGTTCGGAAAACGTCCGTTCGTTGGCCCCGGGGAGGGTCCGGGAGGCGATTGTGCTCTGAGTCTGAGGTGCCAGTGTGTCAACTCCCCCTCCTCCGATAATCCACCGGCGAGGGCCGCGTGGCCCCCGAATCGTCCGAGGCGTATCACGCTTTCTGCAAGGAGATCCTTGGCGACCGCAAGTACAATCTGCTGCTCATGACAGACGGCGCGGGCTGCTACAAGTGCCGCTGCTCGGATTGCGTCGTGCGGTTCGAGGAGCACCACAGCGTGAACCACTCCAGGAAGCCGAAGGCCGAGTTTTCCCGGCCCATCCCCGCGGTCGTCGCCGACGTCGACACGGGCCACACGAGGGGATCTATGGCTGGCACGATGACGATCGACAAAGAATGGGATCTTCTCAAGGAGCCTTTGCCACGGAACCTGACTGCCCGCACTGTGGAGGACGTCGATAGGACGGACGGCTACGTGAGGTCTCAGCAATGGCGGCGCTTGGTCGGCAACGACGATCGATGGTCGGCTTTTCTCGACGCAGCCAGGGAGTGGGCGAAATGCGCCGATTCCAGAGCGAAGCTCAAGCTGGGTCTGGCAACGGGGAAAGCGGGCAAGCTGGCTCTGGCAGCGGGGAAGCGCTTGGCCGCCGAAGCCAACCCAGCAGATCATCGGGAGGAGCGCGGGCCAAACCACCCCGAAGAACAGGGGCAAGAGCAGCGGGAGGAGCGCGCCCAAGAGCATTCCCAAGAGGCACCCGCACGCCATCGCGACGGGCATGCCGACGGCCGCGGCCCCGAGCATCGTGACGGGCAGGGTGGCCCCGCGCGCGGGCCCACCGCGCCGCCGGCGGCGGAGCCGTGGGTGCCCCCATGGCCGCTCCCGCCGCCGCCAGCCTGGCACGCGGGCGCCCTGTGGGGCGATCGGTATCCTGAGCGCCAGGGCAGCGCTCCCGTGTGCGGCCGGCATGCCTTGAACAATTTGTTGGGGGCGCCGCAGTTCTCGGACGGCGACTTGGAGGTGGCACGCGGCATTGTGGTGGCTCAGACAGATGATCCCCCCGACCTTCACGTGAGCGATGGAGGATGGTACTCCCACTCCGTGCTGGCGACTGTTCTGGAGTCCGTCGTCCCTCCGTCGTGGCGAATGTTGTTGCGGCCTCTCTTGCCGTCTTCGTGGCAGGCATTCACGAGCAGCGACGACATGTTGGGGGCGCTGGTGAACCATAACAACGTCCATTGGTCGGCTATCCAGGTGCCTTCGGCGAATCCCGCCGCCGTGCCGGCGCAATGCTGGGTATGATGGGCCTACTCGTCCGCATGTGTGGGCGTACGAGGACGAGTGGGAGGAGGGGGAGGAGGAGGAGGAGGAGGTAGGGGGGGAGGTGAAGGAGGAGGAGGTGGACTGAGGACGAGGACGAGGAGGGAGGAGGAGGAGGAGGAGGAGGAGGAGGAGGAGGGGGTCGGGGTGAGAGGAGGGGAGGAGGAGGAGGAGGAGGAGGAGGAGTAGGAGTGGAGGAGGAGGAGAGGGGGTGGTCGAGTTGGGGGGTTTTGCGCCTCAACATTTTTGGAGGCCTGGTGGCGGATTCTCAAGCACAACGACCGCGTGTGGCACGTAGACAGCCTCCGTGAACCCGCCATTCTAGACGAGGCAGCCTTCGGCAGGGCGCTCCGGAGGCATCCGATGGCGTTTCCCATCGTGACCAATTCATACCAGGAGTGAACGCACCTTTTGTGATCATACTTTCGGTGTCGTTGCGTGCACGACGAGCGCGCGGCGGTTTTCGAGCCATTCTCCCTGGTGCCCCTTTTCGGCTACATTGGCCTGGTGACTCGCCGTTGGAGCGAACAGTGCGTGTCGGAGACTTGGAATGTAGCGCTCTGTGTCTGCTGTTGCGTCGGATATTCGCCCGCGCTACAGTTATTGCCCGTGGTTGCTCGCGCGGGTTTTCCGCTGGCGTCGTCGCTTCCGCCGCCGTCGTCGTCGCCGCCGCCGCGCCCCCGCCGCCGCCGCCCCCCGCCGTCGGGCGCGGCAGACCCCCGAGGAGGCGCGGCTCCTTTCCGCGCGCCGCACGCGTCTTGCGGGAGAGAGAGCGGCGACGAGGCCCGCGAGCGACGCCGCCCTCCCAGCAGGCGCAGGCGACGCCACCCCAGCCCCTGCGAAGGAAACCAAGGGGCAGCAGTTACAGGGAGCGGGGTACGGTGAGACCCCCGCCTGCTGCCCCAACACCCGTAGACCCGTGGCGGCCCCGGAGGCCCCCCGTGGCCCCCGGAGGCCCCAGGAGGCCCCAGGAAACCTCGGGAGGACCCTCCAGGCCCCCGCAGGCCCACGTTGGTTCGAAGATGCGCCCGCGGCGGCGGAGGACGGGAGAGGGGGACAGGGGGAGGACAGAGGAGGAGAGAGGAGGAGAGAGGAGGAGAGGAGGAGAGGAGGAAAGAGGAGGAGAGGAGGAGGAGAAGGAGGAGGCGAGGAGAGGAGGAGAGAGGAGAGGAGAGGAGGAGGAGAGGAGGAGAGGAGGAGAGGAGGTGAGGAGAGAGGAGAGGAGAGGGTGAGGATGGAGGTTTCGCCCGCCCGGCTTGATTGCTGAAGAACGCGCGTATTGCGCGAATGGCTCGGGTGTAGTTGCCCGTCGTGCTGGTAGCGGAGCTCTGTTGCCCCCGCCAAACTTGTTGCATTGTTGGTGGTAGCGGTGCCCGTCGCGCTGGTAGCGGAGCTGGTAGTCGTAGCGGTGGGCTGGTGCCCGTCGCGTTGGTTGCGGGGCTCTGGTGCCCGCGCCGCGCGCGCTGGTGCAACATCGCAAGCAATGCGCGGACATGCGCACGCTTCGCAATCGCGTGCGTCCACACACGTAGTAGTAGTAGTCGGAGTAGAAGTAGTAGTAGTAGTAGTAGTAGTAGTAGTAGTAGTAGTAGTAGTAGTAGTAGTAGTAGTAGTAGTAGTAGTAGTAGTAGTAGTAGTAGTAGTAGTAGTAGTAGTAGTAGTAGTAGTAGTAGTAGTAGTAGTAGTAGTAGTTGTAGTATTAGTAGTAGAAGTAGTAGTAGTAGTAGTAGTAGTAGTAGTAGTAGTAGTAGTAGTAGTAGTAGTAGTAGTAGTAGTTGTAGTAGTAGTTAGTAGTAGTAGTAGTAGTAGTCGTCGTAGTAGTAGTAGTAGTAGTAGTAGTAGTAGTAGTAGTAGGTAGTAGGCGTGGTAGTGGTCAGTAGTATCGTTGTTTCTCTGTTGTAGTTAATAGTTAGTAGTAGTAGTTGTAGTAGTAGTAGTTTTAAGTAGTAGTAGTTCTAGTAGTAGCTAGTAGTATTAGTACGTTGTATAGTAGTAGTATTTCGTAGTATTTCTTTAGTAGTAGTAGTAGTAGTACTAGTGGTAGTAGCAGAGGTAGTAGTAGTAGTAGTAGTAGTAGTAGTAGTAGTAGTAGTAGTAGATGTAGTGGTAGTAGTCGTCGTAGTTGTAGTGGTAGTAGTAGTAGTAGTAGTAGTAGTAGTAGTAGTAGTAGTAGTAGTAGTAGTAGTAGTAGTAAGTTGTAAGTAGTAAGTAGTAGTAGTAGTAGTAGTAGTAGTAGTAGTAGTAGTAGTAGTAGTAGTAGTAGTAGTAGTAGTAGTAGTAGTAGTAGTAACCGTAGTAGTGGTAGCCCTAATGGAGCTCCTAATCGAGCTCCTAACAGAGCTCGTAGTAGAGCTCCTAGTAGAGCTCGCGGTAGAGCCCCTAGTAGAGCTCGCAGTAGAGATTTTGGCAGACCTCGCTCACACTAGAGCTCCTAATAGAGCACGTAGTAGAGCTCATAGTAGACCTCCTAATCGAGCTACCAGTAGAGCTCCTGGTAGAGCTCGCAGATTAACTCCTCATGGAGCTCGTAGTAGAGCTCGTAGTAGAGCTCCTAAGCGAGCTCCTGGTAGAGCTCCTAACAGGGCTCTTAACAGAGCTCCAAACGGAGCTCCTAATAGAGCTCGTAGTAGAGCTCGTGGTAGAGCTCGTAGTAGAGCTCGTGGTAGAGCTCGTGGTAGAACTCGAAGTAGAGCTCCTCGTAGGGCTCGTAGTAGATCTCGTAGTAGAGCTCGTAGTAGGGCTCGTAGTAGAGCTCTTAATAGAGCTCGTATTAGAGCTCGTGGTAGAGCTCGTATTAGAGCTCGTAGTAGAGCTCCTAATAGAGCTCGTGGTAGAGCTCGTAGTAGAGCTCCTAACAGAGCTCCTAATAGAGCTCCTAGCAGAGCTCCTCATAGAGCTCATAGAGCTCCTCTATGGGATTCCTAAGGGATCCTATAGGATTCCGAAGGGATCCCACAGGGTTCCTAAGGAATCCTATAGGATTCCCAAGGGATCCTATAGGATTCCTAAGGGATCCCATCGGATTCCTAAGGGATCCCATAGGATTCCTAAGGGATCCCATAGGATTCCTAAGGGATCCTATAAGATTCCTATAGGATTCCTAAGGGATCCCATAGGATTCCTATAGGATTCCTAAGGGATCCTATAGGATTCCTAGGGATTTCCTCAGGGATCCATACGGATCTCTAGGTTCTCTATGATTCCTATAGTATTCCTAAGGGATCCCATAGGATTCCTAAGGGATCCTATAGGATTCCTAAGGGATCCCATAGGATTCCTAAGGGATCCCATAGGATTCCTATGGGATCCTATAGGATTCCTAAGGGATCCCATAGGATTCCTAAGGGATCCTATAGGATTCCTAAGGGATGCCATAGGATTCCTAAGGGATCCTATAGGATTCCTAAGGGATGCCATAGGATTCCTAAGGGATCCTATAGGATTCCTAAGGGATCCCATAGGATTCCTAAGGGATCCCATAGGATTCCTAAGGGATCCTATAGAATTCCTAAGGGATCCCATAGGATTCCTAAGGGATCCTATAGGATTCCTATAGGATTCCTAAGGAATCCTATAGCATTCCTAAGGGATCTTATAGGAGGGTCCTATAGGATCCTATAGGATTTCTAGAGGATCCTATAGGATTTCATAGATTTCCTATAGGATCCTTCAGGATTTCTATAGGATCCTATAGGATTTCCTATGGGATTTCATAGGATTTCTAGAGGATCCTATAGATCCTATAGGATATTATAGGATCCTAGCAGAGCTCCTCATAGAGCTCATAGAGCTCCTCTATGGGATTCCTAAGGGATCCTATAGGATTCCGAAGGGATCCCACAGGGTTCCTAAGGAATCCTATAGGATTCCTAAGGGATCCTATAGGATTCCTAAGGGATTCCATAGGATTCCTAAGGGATCCCACAGGGTTCCTAAGGAATCCTATAGGATTCCTAAGGGATCCTCTAGGATTCCTAAGGGATCCCATAGGATTCCTAAGGGATCCTATAGGATTCCTATAGGATTCCTAAGGAATCCCATAGGATTCCTAAGGAATCCCATAGGATTCCTAAGGGATCCTATAGGATTCCTATAGGATTCCTAAGGAATCCCATAGGATTCCAAAGGGATCCTATAGGATTCCTATAGGATTCCTAAGGAATCCTATAGTATTCCTAAGGGATCCTATAGGATTTCCTATAGGATCCTATAGGATTTCTCGAGGATCCTATAGGATTCCTCAAGAGCTCGCTGCACCGGTGCGCACACGCGTCGTGCTGTCAGAATCCGCATGGAGGACGTAGCGTTGAGAGCTTGGTCTGTGGAGGTAAGCTTTCGGGGTTGCTGGGGGTTGCTGGGGTTGCTGGGGTTGCTGGGGTTGCTGGGGTTGCTGGGGTTGCTGGGGTCCCGCGGTTGCCCCCGGGCCGGTCAAGTCGGCCTTGTCCCTAGGGGAGGAGGCGCTGTGGAGCTCCCCACTGGACGGGCCGGTCAACTGCGCCTCGTTCTTGTTGTTGTTGTTGTTGTTGTTGTCGTTGTTGTTGTTGTTGTTGTTGTTGTTGTTGTTGTTGAACATTATTTCTTCTTAAGAATAATTATTGTTGGGACCCCTGGTGCGCGACCCCCCCGCCGCGCCTATGCCGCAGCCACATTTTCATCATTTTCGTGAGGAAGTCTCAGGCAAAACGATTGGTACCGGATCCGGTTTTTTGTTGACGCTCGTTTTCCCTTGCAAAAAACAATAGAAAATGAAAATTCTTGTTCTTACTTGATCAAATTGCAAGAATCCCTTGCAAAAAATAAGGTAAAGTGGACATTCGTGCGCGCAAAACGAAATCCTTCCAAAACCTTAGGTTTCGTAGCGATTTTAACATAAATACATCAAAAACCCAATGGTTTTTTAAGAAAAAATTGTCAAAATGTCCTTCCGCGCGCGCTGTCCGAATCCCACAAAACCAATGGTTTTTCAACATTTATGTTACATGAGCTCGCGCGAGCTACTTTTTCTTGTTCTAACATAATCAAATTTCAATAATCCCTTGCAAAAAATAAGGTAAAGTGGACATTCGCGCGCGCAAGACGAAATCCTTCCAGAACCTTAGGTTTCGTAGCGATTTCAACATAAAAACATCAAAAACCCAATGGTTTTTCAAAAAAAAATGTCCAAATTTCATCCCGCGCGCGCTGTCCGACTCCCACAAAACCAATGGTTCTTCAACATTTATGTTACATGAGCTCGCGCGAGCTACTTTTTCTTGTTCTTACATAATCAAATTTCAATACTCCCTTGCAAAAAAAAGTAAAGTGGACATTCGCGCGCGCAAGACCAACAAAAAACACGACGATCTCAGGAACTTGCCCCAAAAATGTGACCAACTCCGCTCTCTCTGTCTCTCTCTCTGTCT